CCCCATGAAGGTCTGGGGAGTCCTTGACTGGCCCACCCCAACCAAGGTAAAGGAAGTACAGTCCTTCTTGGGGTTTGTAAACTTCTACTGCCGGTTCATCAGAGACTTCTCTGAGAAGGCCTGCCTGCTTCACGCACTGACCCATAAAACCAAAGTCTGGAACTGGGGCCCAGATGAAGACCACGCCTTCCATACCCTTAAGGAAGCCATCACCACTGCCCCTGTCCTCTCCTTCCCCACCGATTCTGGCCGCTTCAGGCTCGAGTGTGATGCCTCCAACTTCGCAACCGGTGCAGTTCTCTCCCAGCTCCAGTTGGACAGGGAGTTCCACCCAGTAGCATTCATGTCCAAAAGCTTCACGGATGTGGAACGCAACTACAAGGTATACGACAAGGAGATGCTTGCAATCGTCTGAGCCCTTGAAGAGTGGCAGCACTTCCTGGAAGGTGCCAAGGAGAAGGTCAAGGTTTACATGGACCACCGCAACCTGGGGTACTTCCACACGGCCCAGAGGCTGAACCGATGTCAAGCATGGTGGTCCCTCTTCCTCTCCCGCTCCTACTTCACCCTCGTCCACCACCCAGGGAAACTCATGGGGAAACCGGACACGCTCTCACGACGTGCTGACCACCCGAAGGGGAGAGATGACAACGAGGGACTGACACTCCTCCAGCCAGGCTGGTTTGAGGCCCACATGACAGAGGCAGTCTCAGTGGAGGGTGAGGAAGCAGATATTCTGGAGAGGATACGAGAAGCGAAGGATCATGATGAACGGGTGGTGAAGGCCATGAGGGAATTGGGAGAAGGCACACTGAGGTCGGACGAGTGGGAAAAACAGGGAGAGTTGGTCCTCTACCGGGGTAGGGTGTATGTTCCAAAAGACCCACAACTCCGCCACGATCTGGTACAGCTACACCACAACACGCAGGCAACAGGGCACCCAGGGCGATGGAAAACCTTAGAGCTCATCTCCTGCGACTACTGGTGGCCCCGGATGGCAGAGTATGTCGGACGATACGTACGTGGATGCGACACCTGTAACCATGTCAAAACCTTCCCCGCACAAAAGGTTGGGAAGCTCACCCCAAATAAAGTCCCCACCCACCACTGGCAGGTGATCTCAGTAGACATGGTGGGAGAGCTCCCAGAGTCGAAGGGATATAATGCCATCCTAGTTGTAGTGGACTGCCTGTCCAAATGTATCCACACGATCCCTACTATGATGTCCATGGATTTGGCTGGTATCGCCCAGCTCTTCCTGGAGCATGTCTGGAAGCACCATGGGCTCCCCGAAGAGATCCTCAGCGATAGGGGAAGCACCTTCGTCTCATGCTTCTCAAGGGAACTTGTGGACCTCCTGGGGGTCAAACTAACCCCTTCAACACCCTACCACCCCCAGACTGACGGACAAATGGAACAGGTTAACCAGGAGATTGAAGCCTATCTCCGGGTGTTTGTCAACCACCGCCAGGACAATTGGGCGGACTGGCTCCCACTGGCAGAGTTTGCCTACAACAACCACGTCCACTCCTCCACCCATCGAACCCCCTTCGAGCTTGACACTGGGCAGCACCCCAGGATGGGGACGGAACCCACACATACGTCCGAGGTAGAAGCCACTGACGCTTTCTCATCCAGGATGATGAAGATGCAGGAGGAGGCGAAGGCAGCTCTGGAGCATGCAGCGGACAAGATGGCCCGCTACTATGACCGAGGCCGGGAGGCAGCCCCCAAGTACCAGGAAGGTGACCAAGTCTGGCTCAGTGCCCAAAACTATACGACCGACCGTCCGACCAAGAAGCTGGACCATAAGTGGCTAGGTCCCTTCAAGGTCATCAAAGTTGTCTCCCTGGCTGCTGTCAAGCTCCAGCTCACCGCACGGCAGAAGGGAGTACACCCAGTCATGTCCGTGACGAACATAAGACCCCACCGCCCGGACGAGATCGCAGAACGACCCCCTGACCCCCACCCAGGCCTGGAACTCATAGATGGAGAAGAGGAGTATGAAGTTGAGAAAGTATTGGACTCTAAATGGCTACGCCAGAAACTCTGGTATCTGGTAAAGTTCATGGGCTGGCCAAGCTCAGAGAACCAATGGCTCCAGCGAGACCACTTAGCCCACGCCCCCGACTGGATTGAGGAGTTCCACAGGACACACCCCCAGGCTCCAGGAAGAGAGAGGGAGAACTGCCTGGCCGCTTCGAGGCAAAGCGGCTTAAGGGGGGGGGTGATGTCAGGGCACACCCGCCTGACCCCACTCCACCCGGTCCAACCCCACCCGATCCCACTACCCTCACCTGGTGCCCCCATCCTCCCTCCTCCCTTTTATCCTTCTTCCTTCTTCTTTCCTTTCTTTCTCCTTCTTTCCTTTTCTACTACACAGATGACTTCCTTGCTCGATGTACCATTAACCAGGCTGCGCAACATGCCCGGACCCGGACACACCGGGTGATGCCCTACACCCCAGACGCTCCTGAGATCTCTTATGGAGATACCTGGGTGGACATGGCTGTGTGCGTAGATGATGTGGTGCTCCCCACATGACCTCCAACCTCATGTACATAAACACAGCCTAAGTGGGAACTGAGAAGCAACCTTCTTCTCACACTTCCCACTTTAGGCAAGTAGCTTACATTCCCCTGCTAATAATAATAACACACTTCCCACTTTAGCCTAAGTGGCCAGGGACCCTTGTCTGCTTCGGGCCCATTGTTATGCACGCCTGCGCCACACCCTACCGGGCCCTCAGCCCTGGGTGATATACCCGGACGCTCTCGACCCTGGGTTGGTCCCTGACACCTGGGTGACTATGGCTGTATGCGAAGATGACGTGGCACCCATCATGTGACCCAAGCTGCATGTATATAAACATACCTGAAGTGGGAACTGAAGAAGTAGCCTTCTTCTCACCCTTTTCCACTTCAGTCTAAGTGGCCAGGGACTGCCTCCTGAGCTGGGCCCGCCAGTACGCATGCCTGCTCCACACCCTGTGAGGCTTCTAGTGTTGGGCGTCTCACCCAGGCCTCCTCTACCCTGGACGCATCCCTGACACCGAGTACAAGGTACAGGAAGGTGGCAGAAGGTTGTAACTTGGTGGAGTGTTATGGAAATGGGAAATTTCCCGATTTAGACTCTTATGGGCCCTGCACACACCCAAATCACATGATATGTAAATAAATAGAGTCGAACCAATCAATCATTAACAAAATCATGTCTTTGTGATAACATCTATAACAACACCTGCTATATCTACTGTAAATTGAATGAACTCAACTTCTACCCCTTTCCCTCTTCCTGCACCTAGGATGGACGAAAATGGGTGCCTCTGGCCCCATTTTTGTAACACGGAGGTTTGGTGGAAGAGGGGAGGAGGGAGGAGGGTGATGAGAGGAGTGGGGAGAGGAGTGGAGGAGGAATGGTGTCAGGTCCGAAGGTGAGTATCGGAGCAGACAGAAGTAGGGTAGGAGAGTGATGGAAGGGTGGAGGTGTCGTGAGGAGTAAGAGGAGGAGGGTGGCAAGAGGAGTGATGTTCGGTCCGAAGGTGAATATCGGAGCAGACAGAGGTAGGGTAAGAGAGGGATGATGGGAGGTGTGGTGAGGGTGGGACTCCAGAGGTGATGAGGATGAGGGTCCGGGAGTCAGTTCAAGATTGGGTATGTATGGATATGACATGTTCACAGACTCATGGCTTGATTATAGACACAACACCGAGAGCAGGAACCAGTTCTGGTCTTCCTGTTTCAAATAGACATGCTGGAGCTGAGTGTCAGGGGACAACTCCTGGGTCCCCATGACCCTCCCCTATGGTCCACAGTCTCTGGTCTGGCCAGCCCTATCCAGGGCACAATCCTACTATGGGTAAGAAGATGAATAAGATGAAGGGCAAGTATGTACAACTTGCCTACTGTGGGTAAGAAGATGAGAAGGAAGCTAACTTCTCATCTTCCCACAGTGGCCACCATATCAGGAAAACTTCTGGGAATATCCGGAAGTCACATGAAGGCAGGATCCGGGGCCGGATCATGCGGCACACAGAGCATGCAGCACGGGAAATGTAGCGGGTCCGGACATGGGTCCGGGTCCGGGCTAGTCAGGGTGTGTGCCCTGACACTGAGTCTCCTAGTCCTACTTCTCGAACCATTCCATCTACTACTAGCTCACGATCATCCTCCGAAAGACGTTCACGTTCCTTACATTCATGACCTAGACATTCACGTTCCCACTCTCGAGTTACAAACCACTCTTTTATAGGTTCCAATTTCAATGGTGTTGTAGCCAGTAGCATGCACGACTCAGCTGTTTTTGTTACAGGAATGGGTTCCGGGGAACCCAACCTGAGCCGTTTGGCTCACTAATGGAGGTGGCTGCGTAGCCATCGGAGGGAGAGCAGAATAGGATGAGGGTATGGGAGTACAACCTGTGTGTCGGCCAACGGTAACTTAGCGTACCGGTAGTGAGTATGATGTGGGCTCCTTGAGGGAACCACCTGGCTGTCTGCTAACGGGGACTTGGCGCTCCTGGGAGCGTGCCAGTAGCGTACCAGTAGTGAGGGATACTGGGACTCCCAAAGGGAGTCACCCAGTTGGTGGCTATCGGTGACTTGGCGCTCATGGGAGCGTACCGGTAGCAGGAGTTGTTGGGGAAAGCGGGCTGGTGGACCAGTGCACAGTAGTGGGTGACCATGGGAAGTGGGACCTGCGGGTGCATGCTTCTGGTTGGATGGGAGTAACCACTCGACCACCTGGTGGACTGGTGGGAGCGGACAGCAGGAGGTTGGGCATGGGAATGCCCTCCTCGTTGCGGTTTTGTCATGGAGAGGAGGAATAGGGAGGTGGACATGGTTCCAGGGTTACAGGTTGAGTTTACAGTGGTGACACAATGGTGAGGGTGTTACAATTGCGGTACAAGGTTTGTGGGTTATGTATTTGATAATGAAAGACATTTTTCGGCATCTGCCTTACACATCATATGACTTCTAACTATCTAATATAAAAGTCACAATGATCAAGGGAAGTCCCTTGAAACTCAACAAATTCCCCAGCCAGCACCAAAACCCAGTGGGAAAGCTTGGCATGGGGTTTGACAGCGAAATAAAGGTGCAGGGACCAAAGGTTTGATTGTTCATAGTCATGGACCATAAGATTCTAGGTCCATTCCTATAACAGTTTTCGTCAAGGCTGTTAATGAAGATGGGCTGGTTCCTCAGGAACCCATCCCTCTCGTTGACCTCAACCTCCCTATCCCACCAATTCCTATTCTCGTTGGTGATGATGACAAAGTTGAGCAAGTCCCTGTTCCGGTACTCGCCCAGTTGGCACAGGCAATAACCAACCTTGCTCACTCCACTGCTCGTCCCACTCCAATTCCTGCTCCAGTACCCACTCCTGTGCAACCTCCGTCCACCTCCATTCAAACCAAGGTCTGAGAACCCAATCAGTTTGATGGGGTTGATCCTTGCAAACTCCGCACCTTCTTGGTCCAGTGTGAATTGAACTTTCAGGACTGCCCCCTGGCCTTCGTGAGTGACTGCTCAAAGATTATTTACACGCAATCGTTCCTGACAGGGATGGCCCTTGATCGCTTTGAACCGGACCTTCTGGAAGGGCTGCCTGAGGGCGCTTGACCTTTGTGGATGGATAATTTTCAGGAATTCGTTTTAGAGCTTAAGGAGAACTTCGGCTCCCATGATCCAATGGGCGATGCTGAAGACAAGATCCTCCAGTTGAGTATGAAAGATGGACATCACATCAATAAGTACATTGTCAAGTTTAATTGATATGCTACGCAGTTGCATGGTTATTGTCAGAGACCAGGTTCGAGATGAAGGAAAGTCTCCGTGGTGGAGGGCTGTCAGGGATCGGCCCCTGACCCCGCTGTCAGGGCACCCAACCACACCCCAGAACCACCTTCCCAGACTTCCCCCACTTCCCAGACCTCCCCATCCCTACATACCTCTCACAACTTCAGCCCGCATGTGAGCCCGCGGGAAAAATCACGTGGGTTAAGGCAAGCAACTCGCCTTAACCCATGTGACACCTTTTCCGAGTCGCGGGAACATGCTCACCTTCTACCCGGAGTCATGTTATGAACTGTACAGTACACTTCCTTTTTATAGTAGCCAAGCGGGGAATAGGGAAACTTACCCTTCTTCTCAACTCAATCCCCGCTTAGCCCCTTCAGTGAGTTTGAGGAGCTGAGGACAGGGTCTAGCGCCCAGCCACCTGGAACACCGCACACACCTAGGACTGAGGTCGGGCTGTCCCTGATCGAGGACCGAGCCCTGACAAGGGCTTCAGCCTCAGCAACTTATGCCAAGAGCGCTGTGCCTAGTAACACGTCCATGCCCTAACTTACTAACTGGCAACCAGAACTGAAGGGGGGTAACTCTCAGACTCCTTCCCAGTCGCTCACATGATTTCTCCGAGGTTTAGCCGCAACTTACGTTGCCCTCCGAAATCTGTCGAGCGACTGGTACAACTTGCAACACGTGATGTTCCCACGCTAAGTTGTAATGAGTTGTACATAGGTTACGGAATATAATTTTTAGTATTTACGCATGCGGTCATTGCACCCAACCCAACCCGTGGAGACTAAGGGAGCACATCCAAGGTTGTGAAGTCAATATCCGGGGGTGCGCGAAGTTTACGGTTTATATATTACTTAGTTACCAGTCACTTGTTTGTGCCCGGTGGCATAAGTGGTATGGCATTAGCTGAGGCTATGCAGTCTTTTTAAGTGGCACATGTTCAATTCTCACTTGGGAAACTTTTTTTTTTCATACCCTCCATTCCTTAGTGTACAGAAAACAACCATTTCAAACAATTATTCCATGGGAGGGCCCAAAAAAAGTTTGCCTAAGTGAGAATTGAACATGTGCCACTTAAAAAGACTGCATAGCCTCAACTAATGCCATACCACTTATGCCACCGGGCACAAACAAGTGACTGGTAACTAAGTAATATATAAACCGTAAACTTCGCGCACCCCCGGATATTGACTTCACAACCTTGGATGTGCTCCCTTAGTCTCCACGGGTTGGGTTGGGTGCAATGACCGCATGCGTAAATACTAAAAATTATATTCCGTAACCTATGTACAACTCATTACAACTTAGTGTGGGGCGACCGCAAAGTCGTTAAACTAGAAAGGTAAAAGCAAAGCGAACAGCTAGTACACGCACGAGAAAGTGAAAAAAAACCAAAAAAAAAAAAAAAAGAAGAGAGAAATGAAAAGAGGGGCGGCAATGTCGACCAGGGGGTAAAGCTCAGGCGGCACCAGGGCGGGCGTCGCGCCAACCCCGAGCCCAGGGCCGTCGACAATGAGCGCCCAATTGCCATCTTATAAAACGCCGAGCGCGGCCTAGGCAATTGGGTTTATGGGTAGTTCCGCAAGAACTAGGACAGTTCACGGGAACATCCACACAGCCTACGCGCCGTAGACTAGGTGTCCCACTATAGACTCGCAGAGTCAGGAGGTTCTACCTCCATCTGTCTTCCCCCCTGACGAGGGCGCAGCCCGAGCAGACAACCGAGCCCGGGACCCCCCAAAATCGAATTAAATTAGAGCCCTATGAAACCTACCAATCACCTGCCTCAGCCCTAACCTCAATACAGTGCCCATGAAACCACAAGTACCACCTCCCTAATGCTCACCCAAATGACGCCCTAACCCACCACTAGCCACCGATCACAACCGAAGCCTGGCCCGTCACCTAACGGCTACCCAGACAGTCCCCGGCCACTATTGGCCAAGATGGCCCAGTAGGAAGCGCTCTCCCTCACCCCCCTACCCAATTGCCCTGTCCCATTACAGCCGCACGATCTTCATGCATCAACTGCAATGACCCAAGAAACACCAGGCCCCAAAATCACCCTGGTCATGGACACGTTATATTTTGACTCTGCCGCAACCCTCGAAACCCAAGCCTAAACTACGCCGATCTGCGTCTCAACCATATGATTCCCCAACAACCCCTCCGAGAGCATATCCACGACATACCCAAACTGCACCATTGAAGCTCGACCTGGTATCCCAAAAGCGTTTTCGGATCTCCCGAGCGTTCTGGAGACACCCCCTCTCATACCTCTGCAGCTCCGGCTCCAGTTTCCCCGCGCCCACGATAGGAGTAGGGCCGGGAGACTCGCCACAGTGGACGAGATCTCAAGGGTAGTTATGACAATATACAACACACTGATGAAAACAATGGGGAAAAACAAAAAAAAAAAAAAAAAAAAAAAAATTATTATTATTATTATTATTATTACCACCTGCCATTCCGCTGCAATAACCTGTACAACCTGCGTGAACCAACCCACACCACAACCAAATGAGCATTACCTATGCCACTCCTAAATTGCGTGGTCAATCTGCCCGCTGACTTAAACCAGAATCGCCGCTGCCAAATCTCCGCCCTGGCATGGCTACAACATCCGGGCAAGAAACCCGCCACCCAATAACTGCCCATGAGTCAATTGCAAAGTCCTCTCCTACACAAAAGAACTTACAACATAGGGCTAACCACGTCAACCCAAAGGACGCCCAAGCAGTACCTAGGCAGGCAGCAAACTAACCTCGGACACGGGTCCACAAATCGCAAGCGCTAGACCACCCTAAATACCGATGCCCCAGCAGCTGGATATAATACGGTTAGCTCCGCAAGAACTATGACAGTTTCCGTCAGAACACTCATAGCCCCAGACCCTAAAAGTAACTGGCTAAGAGCAACCCACGGAACCATGGAGGTAAATACTCCCAATGCCTAACTCACAACCCCCTGACAAGATCTCAGTCCAAACAGACACCCACCCCCCTCTCCGCATCCTTCCAGACCTCGCTAACATCTGATGATGAACAAATGATAGCGGCCATAACCAACGCGCCACAAAACTTTGCGACTACCATTGCCGAACAGGTGGACGTGGATTCCTCCGACTCTGACGATACAGATATTGCCCAATCTGCCCCCTCTTCGGCAATAGATATAAAGGTAGCGGCAAAAATAAAGAACACTCATCAGCAACCGAGAATGATACGAGGAAACATGCGAGATCACCCACTGCCGCGAAAATCCAAGGCCCCCAAAAGGCACCCCCCCGCTTCCTTCCACTAAAAGCGATGAGGCCCCTCCCTGCAACCACCCAGAACCAAAAATCCCTCAATGATCTCACCCCCGACATCTTTAACACCGGAATAGGTGGCCAATCGGCCTTCATGGAAAACACCGACCCTACTGAATTCCCCCCAACCCGAAGCCCAGCCACAGCTGGCAGCGGGTCCCCTATTGTCACTGACCAACCAACCTTTATGCCAGTAATCGCGGAAAAACCTGACGATGGAAAAGATGACCTCAACTGGCTGCCACTTGGACCCGATCTAACCAATTTCTACGCACACGGCCTCTGCCCAGGCCGCCTTCTTGAAGGTGCGAACCCTGACCGTGCCATAGCCTGGCTAAAAAAGGCAGGTGCCATCCTAGCCATGCCCCTTGATGCCGCCCACAGCGAAGAAAACACGAGCAACTTCCAAACAAACATGGAGGCCTTCCTAGAAAGGGCATTCCCTGACCAAGTCGGGGAAGTCAACATCATCCCCCCAGTCCCCATCGACCTCAGACGCGGTGGAACCCCCCAATATGCTAAACCGTGGGGCTTCCTAATTGAAGGCCTAAACCCCCAATACGCCGACCTCCTAGTTCGCGAACACCTGTGGATCTGCAAAACGTTTGGGTTCATCGCTATCAATACCACATTCAAACCATCAACCTTCATGATCTCTATTGTGGGAATGGGAAACAGACTAAAAGATGCGAATAACATCAAGGACGCTGTCAAACAAACGATGGCCAAACCGGCGAGTCCCCTCATGACATTCCTGAAAGGGGCAAGTATGACGGACGACCAAATAAATGATATAGTAGACAGTGTCAAAGTAATCCCAAGAGGATATGCTCCCAACGGGAAAGAAAACAACGAGAACCTAGAAGAAAAGAGGAGACCAACCTCGGACAAGTCGGTGACCATGTGGGAGCTGCATGTAGACCCACCCTACAAGACCCTCAAAGAGGCGCGCGAAACCCCTCATGACCAGTGGTCCCAACTCTTCAAATCAGCCTCGTTTGTAAGCGAAAAAACCCAGGCTGGACATGCCTTCAACAGACAAAGAGTCTGCAACACCTGCAAGGCCTCTGACCACTTCTTTCACTGCTGCCCAGTCCATTCCCACTCGGCCTGGAAACAACGCTACCCCAAACACGAGGAACCTGACACTGACGGCAACACGATCCCCCCAGCTCCAGCGGAGGACCGTTCCCCTCTCTCCCCTGATACCCACCATACTCGAATCTCCAACGAGGAAGAGGACGCGGCCGCCCCCCCACTCAATACGGCCCACGCTTCCCCTCTTACATCCCACCCAAATATAACTTCG